TCACAATAGACAGGAATATATCTACACCAATACCATACTCTAATGTCACAATAGACAGGTATATATCTACTCCAGTACCATACTCTGATGTCACATTAGACAGGTATATATCTACACCCGTACCATACTCTGATGTCACAATAGACAGATATATATCTACACCAGTACCATATTCTGATGTCACAATAACCTGGTATATATCTACATCAGTACCATATTCTGACATCATAAAAGACAGTTTACCTGTATATTAAAATATCATTTTTAACACTTTTTGTTAAGAACAGTGATAGTGCTCAGCTCTATACCAATAGTTAAGTTTGGTTTAACAACACTAGTTATATTCAGTTTTGTAACAATTATTATACACTTTGGTAACAATAGTTATTTTAGTTTTAGTAGGGTATTCACTCATGATCACGCACGTGCATCGTTAGGGGTACGCGGTGCACTCTGTGTAAATTAACATGGCTGGTTGTCAGTATGACAGGTCCACATTAGACTTACCTGACGGTACAGCATCAGTCGTCCACAGGTAAACCTGGTCCTCCGTCTCACCTGGTCACTGGCAGTAATAAAAGCCGCTTGTCACGTGACAGATGTTGTAGATAACGATTACTTGTGAGGAGCCTGAGTGGGCCGCTTACGCCCGACATTAAGAAAACATATGTATCGTTAGCTATTGAGACAGGGAGATATACCAATCTAACGAGGGAACAAAGACTGTACTGGTTGTAACTCAGAGAAGACCGGTGTAATTTTATTATAATTTGTAGAAATTACCACGATTTAGGATTAAAAATACACAAGGTCTTTTAAAATTTTGCCGACAGCTTTCTATGATTATATTTGTGCAATTATTATGTGTTGACACTATTGCAGTCATTCGTAAGCTTGGCAGATATATATATATATATATGAACATAATGAAATAGTATGGCAAAAGCTTAGGTTATAGTATGTTACGTAAGATGCACGGACTTCTATTTTATATAGCAATCTACTGATGATATATACATGTATAGAGTCTATGTGCACAATGCATATTTTAATTTCTGTAAAGAAAATCCTCTTCTCTTTTGATTGCTAATTAAAATATGATTATTTGATAATAAAGCAATATATGATTCAAGCAACTTATGGAAAGACAAGAGAAAAGAAAGATAATTGTTTACAGCATTTATGGCTAAATTGACATGCGTGTTAGTGGTCTACAGCTGACATTAGACTGACTAGGGAGCTAGTATTGTTGCTTTCAATTTAACAGCTAAACCACTGCCTTTAAATTATGTTAGTCCTGGCGTTTTGTAATTTCCTGAATTTTGAAAGATCGGTAGATATGCAAACTTGACGGTACGCACATCAATACGCACATCAATACCAAGGACAGACGTGTAACGGACACATATATCTATTACACTAGAGACAGACACGTGTGTTTTTAAATTTTTAAATGTATATATACTCTAATTTATGTGATTTGAAATAATGTAATCGGGGGAGGATGTTGCCGAGTTGTGGCACGGGCTTAGATAGCCTAATTCCGTGGTTGTGGTAATTTTTGTGACGTCCAATCCCACATGATTTCAATGACGTTATATATATGTAATACAATTGGTTGGAACAGAGACATATAAATTATATATACGTCTCTGGTTGAAACTAATTATTTTACACGAGGGGACACGGCCCTCTGTCAAGGTCACACCTCAGCCGGTCAACCGCAACATTATCAAGCTTTCCGTCTGTAATATTTATATTTTAAACGGACGCATGGGAGAAGATAGAGGTATAGGTAAACCAACCTGTAAAAATGCAAGTGTTGTAGATTATTGTATAGGTAATTTTGAATTTATTAAATTAGTAGAAGATTTTTCGATACAAGAATTCTCTTCTTTATTGTCTGATGTACATTGCCCAATTCACATTTGTCTATGTATTAATCAAAATGTACACTTAAATAACAATGGTGATACTGTTGATTCTGAAGGTCAGAGGTTTTTATCAAGACCAAAGAGATGGAATACTGATTCGAAAGATATTTTTGTAAAACATGTGGCTGATAGAAAACTATATATAGATAGCATTATTGATGGTATGGATGACACTGAGAATGTTGTAAATTTGGATTTTATTAATGACACTGTACATAAATTATGTGAAATTTTCATCGGTGCTGCCAAACATGCTTTTGGAAATACCCAACCCAATAACCGCACTAAAAATAATTTCAATTTTAAAAAACCATGGTTTACCAAAGAATGTAAATCTGCTCGACAAAATTACAGAAAAGCCAAAAGATTTTATAAAAGGTATGGGGAAATAAGTTTAAAAGAGGACTTATATGATAAGGAGCGTAAATATCATAAAACACTGAGCACTGCTGTCAAGAATCATAAAACTCAGATTAAAAGCAAATTAAAAAATCTGAGGACTAGAAATCCGAAAGAATATTGGAAAATAATAAATAAGGGTGCTCCAAAGAAAAACACATGTAAGGCAAATATCGATGATCTTTTTGACTTTTTTAGCAAAAGTTTCAATAATGATTTTGATGGTGATGACAATCATATACTGTCCCTTGATGAACTCAAAGAGTTGTCTAACCTTGAAACTAATACCTTTATAAATGGTCCAATTACTCCAAGTGAAATTTTGAAATGTGTCAATAGATTGAAATCTAATAAGGCTGTTGGTGATGATTTAGTATGTAATGAATATATCAAATCAACTACTGACATAATGCTTCCATTATATGTTAAAATGTTTAACTATATACTTGATTCTGGTAATGTACCAGAAGCATGGCTTATGGGTAATATTATCCCCGTGTTTAAAAATAAAGGTGATATGTATGACGCTAAAAACTATAGACCAATCACACTGGTCAGTTGCCTAGGTAAACTATTTACAGCTGTAATTAATGAGCGTCTAAATACATATGCAGACAATGTCGAACTTATACTTGAAAACCAAGCAGGTTTTCGTAGGCAACATTCTACTATAGATCATATATTTTCTTTATACTCTTTAATTCAACTTTCAAAACAATTCAAAAACCGTATGTATTGTGCTTTCATAGATTTTGAGAAAGCGTTCGACAGTGTCTGGAGAATAGGGTTGTGGAATAAATTAATAACAAATAATGTAGATGGAAAATGTTTTAAAGTTATTGTTAATATGTACAATGGAATTAAGGCTAAAGTTATGAAAGATGGAACATTCTCCGATATCTTCACCTGTAATTCCGGGGTTAGGCAGGGTGAAAATCTTTCTCCATTTTTATTTTCATTGTATCTAAATGACCTTGAAATGTTTTTAGAATCTAATGATTGTACAGGCCTATCAAATTTGGCGGGAAAACTTGAGAATGAGTTACAAATATATCTCAAGTTGTATGTAATGTTATATGCTGACGACACTATTTTGTTAGCAGACACCCCAGAAGATTTACAAAAACAACTTAATGTGTTTTATGATTATTCAAAATTGTGGCATCTTAAAGTAAATATCGATAAAACAAAAGTGATGATATTTGGCAGAGGGAGAGTATCCCAAAATATACGTTTTACTTATAACAGAAATGAAGTAGAAATTGTGAAAAATTTCAAATATCTTGGTGTTCATTTTACTCAAAATGGTTTCACGCAGTTAAATATTAGACAATTATACGATAAGGGCCTTAGAGCAATGTATGGTGCTATTGCTAAATGCAGAAACCATAATCTATCAATTGACTGTAAATTAGATATTTTCGATAAAGCTATCAAGCCTGTCATGTTGTATGGTTGTGAAGTCTGGGTTTTTTGTGATTACAAACTTTTAGAACGTTTACATTTAAAATTCTGTAAACATATTCTTCAGGTGAAAACATCGACACCCAATTTCATGATTTATGGGGAATTAGGAAGATTTCCTCTGAGTATAAATATCAAAGTTAGAATGATTGGATTTTGGGCCAAATTGTTAGAACCAATACCTAATAAGTTAAGTAATAAAATGTATAAAATTATTATAAACTATAATACTCAATGGTTGAATTGTATTAAAAATATCCTTGATGAATGTAATTTAATAAATATATTTGAAAGTCAAGAATTCCAAAGTACCCAATGGTTGAATAATACAGTTTTCCATATACTAAAAGATAAATTCATTAATAATTGGAGAAGCGATGTTTTCAATTCATCTAAAGGGACCAATTACAGAATTTTTAAAAATGACTTAGTATTAGAAAAATACCTGCTAGATCTCCCTCCAAGACTAGCAAATGTTTATTGTAAATTTAGAATTTGTAATGTAAAATTTCCTATTGAATGTGGTAGATGGAATAACATTCCAAGAGAAGATAGAAAATGTATGTTTTGTGACCTAAATGAAATTGGAGACGAATATCATTATTTATTTAACTGTAATGACCACCAGATAGTGCAAAACAGAAGAAAATTTATGTCGAGATACTATTTTGAAAGTCCTAGTACTTTAAAGTTTAATACATTATTTAATTATGTCAATAATGAAGAACTAATTTCACTTATAAAATTCCTTAAGCACATAATTGAGCGAATTAACACTGGCCATTAACACCATGATTTATATGTAAACTGTACTATATATATATGTATATAATTCTCTACACTGTAACCAGTTTGCGAGAATAAAAACACATTCGATTTCGTTTGTCTAGAAAGTCTTCATAAAAATATCCGAAAATCTCCGATTGGTCACACCAGAGACATTTTTTTTCAAGCCAGTTTATATATATATATATACGTGACGTCTCTGGTCACTCTGACCTAGACATTGTTAAATCACGGAATAACCGTTATATTTGCTTTCTAAGTCCGTGGTTAAATGCTATCGTGCATTATAATATCAATGCAGAATGCAATTTTTATGTAACTCTTAAGGACAAAGTTCAGTGAAAACCCGTGTAAACAATCCTAAACCACTCTCGACACCGGTGTACAAATATTAGTTCGTGCGGAGAAGTACTTAGAGGTTTCATCATTTAATATGATATTAATTGCGTTTTGCTTTAATTTCCTTCCGCTCAACTTCGCATAGATTTTTTGAAGGACAGTGAGAATGGAAACTTCGGTATGTAATCCATCCTGTTTTTGATTGGCCGGGAGCAGTCGGGAACCATCGGCACTTTCCGCTAACGGAAAGTTCCGAGAGGCCACATAATTTATTGGAGTAGTCTCCTCTTCATTTCCGGGTAAAATGACCAAAACATGGTGTGCTCGCTGCCATCCCGTCGTCAAGTGTAAAATACTTGTCAGTGTATCCATGACAATTGCAAAAGTAGGTATACACAATATTAAATATAATTTTCAATTTTCTTACTCGGGAGAACATGCTATTGATAGTTCTTAACCTCAGACCGTGACGCTAGCAGACGACCATCTGGCACACTAAGTTACTGTACAGTCAATGACTGAATGGCCAGAACGTTGTCTTCTTCTTCTTCCTGGTAGGACTGGACTCATTATTTAGTGATTATATTCTGGCGCATGGAGGATACACATCTTCAAAATCGAGCTATTTACAATGCAAATATTCCGGTATTTACAATTAAAACTTCGTTTATCAGGCTGTGTTTACTTCCCTTGTTAAGGTCGTGCCTGAGGAGGTTAGGGCGACTCGGATACGGTCTTCTGTTTGGTGGTCCCTTACTCCTGACGGTATGGAGTTCATGTGATGATGGTCCGGGGAAGAAAGGAAAACGTGTAGGTTACTACTCTGGTGGTTATTTGTCCGAGTTTGGTAACTAATGCAGCTCTGGTATAGCAGGTCGGGGAAAACCACTAACTTGCGTATGATACGCAAACTCGCCTATTATACGGCAATAGGGGTATGGATTTGTTACTAAAAATAGCCAAAATCATTTTAATCTTAACTTTTTCAAATTGTTTGTCCAAGTCGCATTTATTCAGTCATGAAACATAATACAAATGCAAAAATAAACTTTATTTGCATGTGGGTACCAAACATAGATGCAATACTTCCGGTAAAGTTGCATCAAGTTTCTAAGTAGCCAACACTTTCAGTAAACATCTTTTAGCAAAATATTATTTACCTTGTCGTAAATTAATGCAATTTTTAATATTATCTTGCAAAAGTTACTATTAAAGCGATTTGGTTTATTTTTAGTAACAAATCCATACTCCAACTGGCGTATAATATGCGTATTATATGCAAGTTGGTGGTTTTCCCCAACCTGATTAGTGATTGGTAAGTGTGGCAGATTTTAATTGTATATAAGATTACGGTTGCCTTTGAGCTAGAATTTCCCTTAAGCTCAATGACAGAGCGTCTGACTAGGAACTTAGGGATCGTGGGTTCGGGTTCATGTGGTGACAGGGAGTTAGAACCTGGGTTGTGGTGTTCGAGGGCAAATACATTTAAAAAGGGGGGAGTAGTGTGGCATATTTCCTGTTACATAAGTAGAACATGACAGCTCTGTTTATGGATCTGTGTGCCTCCAGTGGTTCACAGTGTATTAGCCATACACAACTAAAAAGTACTAAAATAAATCCACCAATTTTTTTTTTAAGGTGAAATAACTTGGTGCAAATCGACCCGGGGCAACCTGATACAGTTGTCAGACCTTCCTAACTTGATACAGATGCTCCACCAATTGAGATATGTAGGAGCCAATGATCGACCAAGTCCAGTCCAAATACATTCATGTCTCTTTTTCCTAAGTCCTTGCCACAGAAGACATCACTATTTACAATCCAGGTTAGGGTTCCCCCTTGCCAAGCATACACCCAATGCTTGAAACAAGGGTTGGTCAAAGGCACCAATGTAACAGGAGAGGAAAAATGCACCGCCAGACCAGGATTCTAAACTGGGACTCATCGAACTCTAGACGGACACTCCTGATTGAGCTACATGTACTTGGTGACAGAAGATTGACCCTTTCTAGTCCCACTACATATATAGAATATGCTTAGGAAAACTTAATATAAACTGATAAAGAAAAGGTGACAAGAGTTGTAATGGATGCAGTTGTGTCTTGCTTTGTTAAAATATGCTAAATTTGTTACCAAATGATTAACTGTTATGTCTGCTATTGGAATACATGTATTATCTGTTCAAAACAATTTCTAATGGTTCAGTGATATTTTGGGACATTGATGAACCGGTTGGGTTATGTCTGTAGGTTAAACTGATGCACTTAGTAGTGTGTATGGCCACCACTAGAGAGGTACAGATGTTTTGTAGCTTGGTCATTTCAGTACTGAGATGTTTCAGTTATTATAGAAGACATTTCGATTGTTGATATTTTTTAAGATTTTCTGCACTTGGACTGAAATTTCATATTTGTACTTTGTTCCCTTTTTGTGACCATTGTGTTGCTGAATTTAATTTCAGATTCTTCAGCAATTTTCTTCTTTACAAAAAAGTATGAACAAAACATCAAGAATTCCCATTAGTTATGATCACTGTATTGCAACACCACCGCATTGAGCTGGTGTAACGTGGGATGTTGTAAGTTGGGATGTTGTTCCACTCTTGAATGAATTCCTGTAGATACTACTGCAAGTTGGAGGTCTTAATTCCTTATCAGCTGATGTCGTAAGCTCATTCCAAGAACATCCTAATTGTTCTTTATTTGGTTTGGGATAGATCAGGGGATTTTACAGGCCAATGACAAAATTGTTATACCTCAAACTTTGGCAGACTCTTATCCATTTTTTTTTTACAGTTTAATGAAAAAACGTTATATTGTGTTTCAGATGATGCCGATACAATTCATTGATTATATTGAATATTTACCAAAGTTTTAGTCTTAATTTGTTAATAAACTGTAAAAGTTGATGCATTATATTGAGGACTCTGGTATGATCTTTCAAAATTTTGTAGATTTTTCATATTTATACATGCAATGTTATTAACAACCCAAGGTTGTTGACTTTTTTCTTGTGATTTTTCAGGACTGAAATTGCCATATACCTCTAATTTTTAGCTCGCCTATTCGGAGAATAAGGGGGCTAATGTAGACACCGCAGCGTCAGCATCCCACTTCACTGAGGGGAAGCCATTTTAGGGGCTAAAACTGGTTAATTGGACTTGGTTAAAGTTTTTGGGCAAGTTTGCTTGTGCAGTGTTGAATCGGTCACCACCATCAATATGCTGTTTACTATTTCACGTTGTCTGGTCATCTCTTCTTTTGAAATGTACAACATGTTCAGGTACAGCAAAACCTTGTTATATTGCCACCATTGAGAATTGATATGTGCCTAGTAGAATAATCCAACATTCCTTCACCTAAATAAGTGAACACAGTCTCCAGAAATCCAGTACAGGTTGCTAGGTACAACATGTTTTGGCTACAAGAAGTTAGCCAATATTCATAATGATAAGTACATAGCGTATACATAACTATTTATGTAAAAGCCTAAGTTTTATGTGTGTATTGCAGGAATGAGGATTTTGTTGAGGCCTGGATGCCTTCGGAGGACTTCATGGCGGCTAAACATTGGATGTAGACTGTCAGACTGGTGTCAACGGATATCCTATTACTTGAGCAAACTGGTAAAAATTAAAATGTATAACATCCCTGAAAAATCATGTACATGGTCATAAGAGAGACAAACCTGTAATCATAACTATACTTTGAATGTCTTGTACAGAACTTGTGTATTGCAGAAAGATTGACTTTAGGTCTCTGTTTAACGTACATAGTCTTTTGTGTATACGCATTATTGTATATGTTGGCAAAGTCAGATAAAAAAGAATAATACATGCTTTTACTATGATACACTCAGTTCATATTTAAGTTAATTTATATTAGCACAAACGATGTCAAGTCGCTATCTCCAGTAGTTTTCAATGGATTAGCTTCATTGCCATGAAAGCTCGAACAAGTTTCATAATCGCAATTATCGGACAGTAATTTACGGAGTAATTGCCCTTTATTCATTTGCCCAAACAGTGTCCGCTCAATATCTCAAGAAGTTGTCTAAGGATTAGCTTTAAAACTTCATAGGAAGGTTCTTTACCATAGTAGCTCAGACAAGTTTGATAATCATAATTATCGGGCCGTAATTTACGGAGTTATGGCCCTTTATTCATTTGCCCAAACAGTGTCCGCTCAAGATTTTTTTATGGATTAACTTCAAACTTCATAGTTAGATTCATTACCTTGATAGCTTAGATAAGTTTGATAGCCACCATTGTTCAACTGTAATTAATGGAGATATGGCTCTTTATGTACAGCCATACAAACAACTGCTCATTCATGGTATGACCTGCATATTTTGTTCTGCTTTCGCGGTACCCTTGTTTATTGTTGTTTTCATATGTAATTATATGTATTGTGTATATATATACATGTCTTTGAAAACATTTAAATTGAGTCACTTCGTTTTAAGTAAGGATAGCTGGTAATATGGTATTTTTTGAAGGAGATGTACTCATTTTAATATTTGTTTGTTCCGTTTCTTTTGTTCAGTTTGCTCTACATAAAACTGTGTGAATCAGCAGACTTGATGAGAAATGTAATGTTTGATGTTTATTAAAAGTAATACCTGTGGTACTTACTGTATGGTAACTCACCATTGTGGATGTCATACCATTAGTCTTCGACTACTATCAAACCTTGTTTATGTGCCACCATTTGTTCATTGGCATTATAAAGTGGTTCAGTGATACATTGAAGGAGATATATGCAAGAATTGTGAAGATCTCTAAATATTTTGGCATAGGCAAAGTTTAAATAACACGAGGATATCATATTGAGGTTTTACTGTAACTAGGTGATTGGCTCATTCATGAAATCATACTTGTGTACTCCTAACATCAATAAGTAATAGCTTAAAAAAGTTACAAATTAATGTGTAGTGCGTTGAGCCACTTCTTGAGTTTCCTTTCCTTAGTTGATATCTTAAACTTTATTTTATTTCAATTTTAACAATGGAATGTCTTATATCTTTGTTACAAAAATGTTCTTTTTCATTTGATCTACCGTTAGTATCAAATGAAGAGTATGTATATGTGCTCCCTTATACAGGTTGGGCACAACGGTGCATATGGGTAATAATCCTGCAATTGTATTGTGTTATTTATTTGATTTAGTTGACAGAATGACGCCCTTTTTTGCTCCAAGTGTTTAAAAGAACTTTGTGTGGTTTTTATTTCACTTTATTCCCCATTTCAGTAATAAAATTGTTACTCAAATGGGTAACTGTTACCCAAATGCAGGATTATTACTCATATGAGCCGTTGTGCCCAACCTGTTATAGTTGGTATTGTAAATTGGGTCACTGTGCAGAGCAAATTCTGTAGATAGTCCTTTTCAGCTGGCAGCAGTGGTGTGGGTGTGCGAGCGGGACCTTTGGAAACTGTTGGTAGGGTTTGCCTTCCTGGTGTTCGTTTTTCTCCTCGGTGTGTGGTTTGTGCTGAAGGATCCTTGTGAGACTGCTACTGCCACACAACAACTGGTGAGTCAGAATAAAGTACACAACAAGTGGCGAGTCAGAATAAAGTACACAACAACTGGTGAGTCAGAATAAAGTACACAACAACTGGCGAGTCAGAAAAAAGTACACAACAACTGGTGAGTCAGAATAAAGTACACAACAACTGGTGAGTCAGAATAAAGTACACAACGAGTGAGCAAGAATAAAGTACACAATAACTGGTGAGTCAGAATAAAGTACACAACAACTGGTGAGTCAGAATAAAGTACACAACAACTGGTGAGTCAGAATATGTAGTACACAACAACTGGTGAGTCAGAATAAATTACACAACTGGGCTGCCTTCGACTCGCAACTCTCAAGTTATCAGATTTATAACTCAGGCAGTCAAACGTGCAGGGTTCTTAATCGAGTGTACTAAAAATAGATTTCAGACGAAAGGTGAAGGTCGTATAAGGAACTCTCGATTTCGGAGAGTTTGGCAGGAGTTAAGATGGCGGACGAAGGAAAGGAATGCGACATATGAGTTTAGATAATTTTGTAATGTGATGAGTTGGAACAAATTGGAAACTTCCCTCAAACTTTCTTGGTTACTCATTTACCATTTGAATGCAAGTAACATTTTCTAAGGCTCAACTTGCCCCGTACCACCACCACCGTGATCACTGATGAGACTTGGTCCAACTATTTCAAGTATTTTCTCAAAAGTTTCTCTTTGTAGTCTAAAGTGTGTCTTAAAATCATCAATGAAATAACGAGGCACAGGTGTCTCTGCAAACATCCCAATTCTTGGCACCTGCTCCCTCATGTGGATCTTCTTACGGTGAAGTAAAATTGCGAGGTTTTGGTGCTGTATGCACCATATAACTTCGTCAGCAGCCAAAATTTCATCCAGCACATGAAATAATAAAACTTTTGCCGCCATATTAACTCGAGAGTAAAGCATTCGACTGGCGGCGAGTTTGGCGTTACTATAAATAACCCAACCCTTACACGAGAGTTGAGAGTCGAAGGCAGCCCTGGTGAATCAGAATAAAGTACACAACAACTGGGGAGTCAGAATAAAGTGCACAACAACTGGGGAGTCAGAATATTAGTTACATGAAAACTGAGTTAGAATATTCTACAGCATATGAGGAAGGAACTACACAGAAATTGACGTCAGTTTAAGTTGCACATCAACTGGTAAGTTACATATCAATTGATTCAGATTGGATTATTAAAACAGAACATATTACACATCCACCAGAGAGAAATAGTGAGTGAGTCAATGTAACACCACAGCTGATGATTCAGAGTAATCTACGCAGGAACTAGTCAGTAAGCATATACAAGACTGTTTGTATACAGATTAAAGTTACACAGATATCTAAATCACATATTTGTATATCATGTAATAGACCTGGTTATACTGTATATACTGCATGTTGTATATGTTCATTAAAATGCAGTTTAAATATGTTGACCTTCTTACTTTCTGTTTGTCAGTGTGAAGACTTTGAGCGTGGATATGTCTCTGGTATGCTGTGCTATGACTTGTGTGTATCCAAAACATTCATTTTACCAAAATGTATTTCCAAGTCGGGTGATATTATGGTAGGTATACATGTATTGACTAAAACTTCATTTTTAGCTCCCCTTGGAACAACGAGTCCTTGTGATATAACTTTAGAATATTTGAGATCCCCAAACAATACAGCTACTTGCTTGGCATGAAAAGATGAAAACATTTGTGCTACCAGGATTGACATTGCCCCAAGGGACTTAGCCCAGGATTATAGCATGAAAATGGTTGAGATTCTAACCATATAATAATATATACCATTGCTGGGTGTATCAACCCCAAGAAACCTGCTGAATCCATGGGAATTAGCCCATGGGTCGAAACTGAGAAACTGTCGAGATCACCACTGTATATGTGTTTGGTGAGCATGAAGAGACAAGAACAATCATGCTACCAAGATTAGCTATGGGTCTGTCCTTGCCTTTGGGACTTAGTCCTCAGGTCATAAAACTAAAACTGAAAATTGAGATCCCACTCCAATGATATACACATACATATGGGTCACAACAAACATGCATCATTGGCAATTGTTGTGGCAAGGAAGAGTGTAGCTTTCCAGGGGGTCTAAAAAGAGAAAATAATTGCAATGTTGCTATTAATGAGAATATTTACCTTGTTTTCTTCAAAATCAAGGTAAGTGATGCGGGCCCAATGAGGCATTTGTTATTATTTGCTTCGCTATTTTACTAAAATGATTGCAAAATTGTTTTGGGGGGAAAATGAATCACTGTAAACTGAATACATAAAATCTGTGAAAATAAGCTGCACATTTATGAACTGAAGAAACTGGTTTTAAAAGTTGAAATTTCAAAAAATCTGTGTTTAATATTAATCATTGAAATAAATTAATGATTATCTTTTAACCAATACTTTCCTTTTCAGACATTCCATTCAAAAAAATCCATTGCAAAGTTCAGGGTTCTTCCCCCAGATGGCACTGCAGTGGAGAATGATAATTTTGATCTTCCATTCCATTTGCGCCCCTTGGAGGGCCAATTAACTAATGATGATTTCCATCACCTACTGGAGCGCTTCATTACTGCCAAATTGGGCCCCATTGATGTGACTGGACTGATTGAGCGCCTCTACAACTTTGCTGATGCAAGTCATGATGGCAAGGTCAGTATTTCACACCACCAGACATCACTCTTGGTGGCCACGGCTGCCATGTTGAAATTATATTGTGAGCTTAAACTCCAGTTCTCTTAAAGGGTTTTCAAAGGAACATAATAGAAATGTTCAGCACCTTGTCCTGGCAAGGCTGTTATTTCTCTGGTCAGTCAGATATCTTAGATGGCCCCATTTTGAAAATCTATTTCGAGCTTAAACTGAAGTTCTGCTGAAGCAGTTTCAATGAAACATTACAGGATGTTCAGTACATGGTTCTGACAAAATGCTGTCATTTGTAAGGTTGGTCAGTTGTCCAAGATAGCTGCCACTGCCTGTGTTAAAAAACTATTTTGAATGTCAACTCCAGTTCTACCAAAGGGATTTCAATTTCATTATAAAGTTGAACCTCATCATTATCTCAAACTCTCGTAACTCGAAGACCCCGTTTATCTTGAAGTATTTCTCCTGTCCAGGTCAAATCTCTTCTTTATCTTAATAAATATGTAGCAGGGTTCAATTGTACATAGGATTAATGTCGCCTTCTAGCTTCGAGCTAGGGGGAGTTTCCCTTTAGCTCAGTGGTAGAGCGTCCGACTAGAACCCTGGAGATCAAGGGTACGATCCCCGGTGGAAGCACACTATTCTCTTTCCTGTTACAAATGGTGTCCGTGGCCCTCTCTGTAGTGACAGGGAGTTAGAACCTGGGTTGTGGTGTTCGAGGGCGAACACATTTAAAAAGGGGGGAGTAGTGTGGCAGGGTTCAATTTACATAGGATTAAGGTCGCCTTCTAGCTTCGAGCTAGGGGGAATTTCCCTTTAGCTCAGTGGTAGAGCATCCCACTAGGAACCTGGAGATCGAGAGTTCGATCCCCGGTGGAAGCACACTATTCTCTTTCCTGTTACAAATAAAACTCAGATAATTCGAAACCTGAAAACTTGAAAAACTTGGATACCTCGAAGTTAGATATTGGTTTCAACAGCGTAAATCCACCATCAAAACATTTTCTACTTAATAGTGTTCGAATTTCATTTCATCACTTATTTAATCTTTGATACAAATAAAACTCAAAACTACGGCATCTCGCCATTCCGTTCTTTTATGAACATCTTTCGTGAGTAGACCAGCATGAAATTGGTAAAAATAATTTACGATAAAGCTTAAGACTGTGAAGTGTGCGTACTGTCAAAACCATGTTGTTCATAATAGAAAACAAACTTCATCAATGTTGATCAACAGTATTCTGTAATTACTGCAAGTTCCTTTAATGATTTGTACACCTAAATTGACGACAGTCCAAACCAGAAAATTGGTCACAAAGCGTGGTCATGCATAAAAGTGTTCCACAGTTAAAATCACAACCTAGGACAGCTTCAGGAGTTCATGTTTTTACAGGAGCCAGTATGGCTTTGAAAGTCAATCGAGAGATTTTAAGAACAATATGATAATTGCTGTTGATTACATCGAGTTGAGGAGGTGTCAGGTGTCACATTTGGCTTTAATGAATCAATATGTTACATGTACGATAGAATCTGTTTGTGTGTGCTTTCATTTAAAGAATCAACTATGCGTACGCTCCATTACAGTGATTTGTTTAAGACTTGCACAATTCCATTTCCGCATTGTATAGTACGAGGTCGGAGACAGCGGGATAGTTTGATTTTAAATGTAACACTACAGCGGTAAAACTTGACGGACCTGCAAATACAAATGCAGACCTTGAACAACTTTGCTAAGACTAGCCAAAAACAGCATTTAATCACTAGGCACGTCCATATTTCATAACAAATTCACAATATGGCCAACCGTTTTGATCGCGTTAAACGAAAGTATGTTTTTCGGAAGTAACTTACTCTATTTTTGTAAGCGTGTTTATTGTAAAATAACAATACATTTTATTTATTCTATTGATTATGTATATCATCCATCAATTGATTATAAGCATTCACTATTAATACAAATCAACCACTGCTAGTATATATATTAACCCGCATAACTTGAATACTCGTATAACTCGGAAGTTTTTCCACGACCCCGTCAACTTGGAGATAACGAGGTTCGACTGTATATGAATATTTACTACATGGTCCTGACAAAGTGTTGTTATTTTTCTTGTTTTTCCAAGAAGGTTGCCATGGCTGCCATCTTCTACTTTTGTGTTTTGTTCAAAGGTCAAATTTGAGCACTGGCCAAATTAAACAGTTAACATAGGTTATAATGGGTAAAATATTTTAAGAATCATCTTCTGAAGTGGCAAAAAGCATTTGGTCCTGATATTAGGCCAATATGCAGCTGGGATAGGGACGTGCTATGAAGTTTTGTTCATGTAAATAACCTGGACTTAATTTCAACTTGTGTGAAAAATGTTGAAAATTAAAACAATATTATATGCAGAATCTTAAGGTCAGGAGTCATGATACTTGGGACATTTTCAGTAGACCAGTACTGCAACTTAAAAATGGTATCAGACTCTATATATGTTTATTCAAGCATGATAGAAGTCCATCGCTAGCAGGATTAGCTCATGGATCTGGCCTCACCCTTTGGGACTTATTCCTAAGTCATTTCTTTGAAACAATAGTGATCCCAACCCTATAACAATGGGCACGCACATACAAATTTTAACCAGATTTGCTTTGAGGCATCGTGTGAACCAGAGCCAAATGTTGGCAAATAATTGCAATATCACTTTTAATGAACCTATTTTGCCAGAATTGCTTAAATATTCAGGTAAGTAATACAGGCCCTTTTGGCCTCTTGCTAATATTTCATCTTTATAGAATTGTTACTGTAGAACTTTCAATTTAGAACTGTTCTATGATTCATGAAGATTTACATATAGAAGTTTTCATCACTGCAATAAGTATTGTATGATAATTGTAAATTGTTATACATGTACTATATTTCAGCTGAACTTGGGTGAGGCGAGCTCCATCTGGGAACTGATCCATATTCATGAGTTTTTTATCCTCTTCCTGTTCCAAGGCGATGCAACATTCCCAGTAATAAATGCCACATGTGGCTCGCTTTATACCTACGACAAAGCCTTCACTCCAGCACTCTATGACAAAATGAATAAAGGCTTTCTTGATAGGATATTTTCCAATACCTACCGCTGGAGTCTTCCTAAGTGGGACAAGAGAGTCAACATAGCTGTTGGGTTGTTGGAAAATGTAGCGTCTTTATCAGAGCGAGTAAATGTTCAATTCCATATGTGCAATGTAGAGTCAACAAATTTTGGCTACACTGATCGATTTGAGGCTAGGTTGACCTACTTTGATGACATAGTGTCACAGAACCATTTTGACCTGGAGGTCAAGGGTCACCCATGCTCTAGAGACGGGGATTGTTTCCATGGTGACTGTATGACAGAGTGTGATACAACATCAGGGACGTGTACAGGTGTACTGAAACAGCCCACACTGGTACACATGTGTAAGATTGTAGAGGAGTACCTGGTATTTGATGCACCAAAGGAGGTGAAGACTGCTCTGAAGGTGCTGCTCTCCCAGTGTTTGGCCCTGACCAACTCCCAGGACAAGGACCCTGCACATATTGTACGCTATAACCTTCTGCTGGACGAACTGTCAAAGTTTCTATGGGACCAAATCAAGAGCAAACCAGTCAACTGGCTGGATCTACCCAAGAAAAAGAGTAGACCTAGCTAGCTGATTATATACAGAAATAGTGGTGGTCTGTGATTTACATAGATAGTAATGTCAATAATTTATATGAATAGTAGCAACTGATGATTTATAGTAAACAGTGACAGTCCATGATTTATATAAAAAGTGACGGTCTATAATTTATATAAATAATGATGGTCTATGATTATATAAACAATGATGGTCTATAATTTATATAAAAAATGATGGTCTTTGATTATATAAACAGTGATGGTCTATGATTTATATAAATAATAATGGTCTATGATTATATAAACAGTGACTGTCTATGATTTATATAAATAGTGATGGTCTATGATTTATATTAACAGTGATGGTCTATGATTATATAAATAGTGACAGTCCATGATTTATATAAGTAGTGACTGTTTATGATGTATATCAATAGTGACCGTCTATGATTTATATAAATGATGACTGTCTATGATTTATATAAATATTGACAGTTCATGATTTATACAAATGATGACGGTCTATGTTATATATAAATAATGACGATCTATGATTTATATAAATAGTGACAGTCCATGATTTATATAAATAATGACTGTCTATTATTTATATAAATAATGACTGTTTAGGATTTATATCAATAATGACTGTCTATTATTTTTATAAATAATGACTGTCTATGATTTATATAAATAGTGACAGTCCATGATTTATATAAGTGATTACTGTCTATGATTTATATAGATAGTGACAGTCCATGAGTTATATAAATAAATATTATATCAATAATGACTGTCTATGATCAATATAAATGATGACGGTCTTTGATTTATATAAATAGTGAGAGTCCATGATTTATATAAATGATCACTGTCTATGATTTATATATATGATTTATATAAATAATGGACTGTCACTATCTATATAAATCATAGAAAGTCATCTTTTATATAAATCATAGGCAGTGATCATTTATATAAATTATGACGGTCTATGATCTATATAAATAGTGACAGTCCATGATTTATATAAATGATCACTGTCTATGGTTTATATAAATGATGACGGTCTATGATTTATATAAATAGTGACAGTCCATGATTTATATAAATAAATATTATATCAATAATGACTGTCTATGATTTATATAAATGATGACTGTCTATGATTTATATATATGATTTATATAAAAGATGACTGTCTATGATTTATATAAATGATGACTGTCTCTGATTTATATCAATAATGACTGTCTATGATTTATATAAATGATCACTGTCTATGGTTTATATAAATGATGACGGTCTATGATTTATATAAATAGTGACAGTACATGATTTATATAAATGATGACTGTCTATGATTTATATCAATAATGACTGTCTATGATTTATATAAATGGTGACTGTCTATGATTTATATAAATAGAGTTAGTCCATGATTTATATTGATAGTGAAGGTAAATCATGGACTAACACTATTTATATAAATCATAGACAGACATCATTTATATAAATCATAGACAGTCATCATTTATATAAATGATGACTGTCTATGATTTATATAAATGATGACTGTCTATGATTTATATAAATAGTGTTAGTCCATGATTTATATTGATAGTGAAGGTAAATGATTTACATAGTGATGTTCTTTGATTATTATCGTGATTGTCAGTGATTTACATAGCTAGTGACTAAACACGATATAAATGGTGATGGTCCTAATGAAGGTCCATGATTTAGATAAATTGTGGCAGTCTGTGATTTACAATGAAAGTAACAATATTGGTTTAAGAATAATCCTTGAGTTACAAATTACACAATTACTGGCCGTAATTTTTATAACTCCTGTTTGTAAAAAAATCATGACATATTTGTTGTCCAGGATTTGCATAAATCAAGATTGTTACCGTTTTTATGGCATAAATATACCAATTCATGTACACAATTGTATCCAGAATGTTGGTCTCAAAAACTTACCCTAAACAAGCTCTAGGTCCAATATTTTTAAAGGTGTGTTACCCTCTGCTATTTAACCTTACAGGTTCTAATTCAATTATTTAAAATATACAAAAACAGGTCTTTTTTTTTCATTAATTTATTTTCATATACATATGTCTAGAAAGTTGAATGTAAATATAATACTCAGATTTTTAGATTCTGCAATAATTTCCAAACTCTGTATGAATTATGACAGATTTTTTTTTTTTTTTAACTAACTCATTGTTTCTCTGTAATATGAATATTTAGCTTTTACTGTGAATAGCAATATTGTTTTAGTACTGATTCTTATATTATTGTGTCTGGTCACTTACTTTTAAACTGTAAACGATATCTTGATGAAACTTGAGGTAAACCTTCATCACACCCAGGAGGTGTGTAGTGCACTGTAATCAGGTCACTGTCACCTTCACTCAAGGTCAAAGAAGTGAAAAAAATCTATTGAAATTTTGTCTGGACCATGAGTTTTAAACTATTGAAGATAACTTGATGACTATGACCTTGAAATTGAGATCAAAGGTTGAATTTGTAGCAAAATATTGCCTCAGCCATAAAACTGTTAATGATATTTGATGAAACCAGAGTACATTTAGCATCAGCCAAGGGATGTGTATCATACATTTTAATTGGGTCAGTGACTTTAACCTCCAGGTCAGATAAGCACAATTTTTTTTTATGCTAGGGCTGTAAATGCTTAACGGTATGAATCTTAAACAACATACTTGCATTACCGACAGAAGGTTTGCAGTGCACTACATTTAGGTCACTGGGGCATTTATCTCTAGGTTAAAAGTCAAATAAGTGCAAAGCTGTAAATATGAATATTGGTTGATAAGGGAAGACATGCTTTCTTCACAAAAACAAAACTCTAGTCATTATTAAATTTGTTCTTTTCATTAAAGCTTAAGGTTGTATTTCCTATCTTTAGATATATTCTGTATTCCTGATCTTTAAATGTCAATAAGAACGTGAAAGTTCCACTTTATTTCTGAGTAAGAAATCAGTTTTCCTGGTAGTATGTCGAGGAGGATTTCATAATACTGGTTTATAAAAGTTACATGTGCAATATTCTACAAAAACACATTCTGCATACATGCTAGATTATTGATAATTGGCCTGTAGTATGCTGTGGTGATCAAGAACTGCCAAATTCGTTAACATTTATGACCCTGGCCCACATCATAGGTCTTAAGGTTAAAGATTGTGTACTCTGATATATAATGGTAGTAAAGCATAACATTGAAACATATCATACATGGCAGTATAACAATACACAGATATATCATGGCAGTATCACAATACACAGATATATCATGGCAGAATAACAATACACTGATATATCATGACAGTATAAGAATACACAGATATATCATGGCAGTATCACAATACACAGATATATCATGGCAGTATAACAATACACAGATATATCTCAGGGCTGTATAACAATACACTGACATATATCATGACAGTGTATTGTTATACAGCCATGATATATATCGTGTATTGTTATACTGCCATGATATTTATCAGTGTATTGTTATACAGCCATGATATATGTCTGGGTATTGCTATACTTCCATGACATATACCTGGGTATTGTTATACTGCCATTATATATATCGTGTATTGTTATACAGCCATGATATATATCGTGTATTGTTATACTGCCATGATATATATTTGTGTATTGTTATACTGTCATGATATATCAGTGTATTTTTATACTGCCATGATATATCTGTGTATCGATATACTGCCATCTGTCATGATATATGTCAGTGTATTGTTATACTGCCATGATATTTATCAGTGTATTGTTATACAGCCATGATATATGTCTGGGGATTGCTATACTGCCATGACATATACCTGGGTATTGTTATACTGCCATGATATATATTTGTGTATTGTTATACTGTCATGATATATCATGGCAGTATAACAATACCCAGATATATCATGGCAGTATAACAATACAAAGATATATATCATGGCAGTATAACAAAACACTGATATATATCATGGCAGTATATCAATGTATAACAATACACAGATATATATCGTGGCTGTATAACAATACACTGATATATATCATTGCAGTATAACAATACACTGATATATCATGACAGTATAACAATACCCAGATATTTATCATGGCAGGATAACAATACACAGTTATATATCATGGCTGTATAACAATACACAGATATATATCGTGGCTGTATAACAATACACTGATATATATCATGGCAGCATAACAATTCAATGACATATATCGTGGCTGGATAACGATACACTGATATATATCATGACAGTATAACAATACCCAGATATTTATCATGGCAGGATAACAATACACAGTTATATATCATGGCTGTATAACAATACAATGACATATATCATGGCAGTTTCACAATACACAGATATATCATGGCAGAATAACAATACACTGATATATCATGACAGTATAACAATACCCAGATATTTATCATGGCAGTATAACAATACACAGTTATATATCATGGCTGTATAACAATACAATGACATATATCATGGCAGTTTCACAATACACAGATATATCATGGCAGTATCACAATACACAGATATATCATGGCAGAATAACAATACACTGATATATCATGACAGTATAACAATACCCAGATATTTATCATGGCAGTATAACAATACACATATATCATGACAGTATAACAATTCCCAGATATATCATGGCAGTATAACAATACACGATATATATCATGGCTGTATAACAATACACAGATATATATCGTGGCTGTATAACAATACACTGATATATATCATTGCAGTATAACAATACAAATATATCATGGCAGTATAACAATACACGATATATATCATGGCTGTATAACAATACACGGATATATATCATGGCTGTATAACAATACACTAACATATATCATGACAGTATAACAATCCCCAGATATATCATGGCAGTATAACAATACAATGACATATATCATGACAGTATAACAATACACAAATATATATCATGGCAGTATAACAATACCCAGGTATATGTCATGGCAGTATAGCAATACCCAGACATATATCATGGCTGTATAACAATACACTGACATATATCATGACAGTATAACAATAACCAGATATATCATGGCAGTATAACAATACACTGATATATATCATGGCTGTATATCAATCCAATGACATATATCATGGCAGTATAACAATACCCAGGTATATGTCATGACAGTATAGCAATACCCAGACATATATCATGGCTGTATAACAATACACAGATATATATCATGGCAGTATAACAATACACTGATATATATCATGGCAGTATATCAATACAATGACATATATCATGGCAGTATAACAATACACAGATATATCATGGCAGTATAACAAGACACTGATATATATCATGGCAGCATATCAATACAATGACATATATCATGGC